TCATATTTTCACATTATACCTGCATCAGCGAGCACGAAAAAGCCCGAAATCGTCGGAAAGCATCTGCACATTACGGATGCTGCGCACCGAACACTCGCATCCGCCAGCTCTGGGCGCTGCCATCTTAACTGTGACGTCACGGTTCTTGGGAGGTCACGTGACGAGTGGTCACATTTGCGTAAAATATGGCGGCAACCGGGGGGGGGGGGGGGGTGCCACTTCCGATCTTCCGGTTTATCACTCTAAGCCCCCCTACCTCGTTGGTTTTCAGCGAACTATACTCTCGACTGCGGAGGCGTCTGAAGCGGGCGCATCACGCTTATGAGGAGCAGCTTCTACTACCTTCTTAACTTGTAACCAACTATATTTTCATTTATAATAATATTGGACGAGCCTTTATAACCGAAATTGAACCGGAGCTAATTCACTCTCTTTGTCTAGAAATATCTTCATTATCGACCAGAGCGTCTTGTACTAGTCAGAATATGGGTATTATAGGGTAGACCTGCCCGAATTAATCACTTTCTCATCGAGATAAGCTACTCGACAAATGCATGCTCTAAAAATAAGTCCTTTTCAATCGCGTATTAACTGCTTTAAGTATTCTTTTTCCACCTAAAATTAACATAGTGAAATGACCTCGCCGAGAGCGTTGTTGTGCAACCATCATTGTCGTCACTTGCATCGAATTTAAATTAGCTCCTTCATATGCCGTATTTGTTCAAGTGTACCACAAATTCTTTTCATTTTTTATTTTTGTTTCAATTTGTTGTACATATTTTATTTTTCAGTCTACCCACCTGCAATAATTCTATCAAGTAAATGCCGAAATAATAAATAAATAAATAATTCAAACATACAGACAAAATTTGATTTGACGAATTTTTCCTGGGGAGAAGTTCAATGCACATGTTTTGTAGCGGTAAATTAAACGGCTAAATTACGTATATAAGATTTTTCTCTCGAAAAGTTTGAAAGCCAAATTATAAAACAGAGGACGATGACGGGAACAGGACATCTTCCCTTCATCGTCCTCTCTGTTTTATGCTTTCAACTTTTGTATCTATTAACCAACACGCTCGTTTTTAATTGAAGCCAAATTGTTTATGTTACTTTGATCACTGCATTATCCTCTTCCTCGCTGCTCAAAAAACAACAACAAAAAATAAAACCGAACAAAGAGACGAAGACACTATCTGATTGTGTTTTTCTACACATTGAAGAAGCCAATAGAGTGAGCGGAGGGCTCCGGTGGCTTAAAGATCGCTCAAACATATGGATTTTGGTCACCAAAAATAGTCTTTATTTTTTCTTGATTTACAGCCGACAACAACCAGAGACCTAGAACCATGGCTTCCGGAGATATTACTTCAATATGCTCTAGTGAACGCAAGCCGGTATCTTGCAGCATCAGTTGCAACTTATTTACGCATAATAAACGTCAGCTACGTTGCTTCCAAAATCAGGAATGATGGCAGAAACCCAAGTAAGCCAAATCGAAGCTACATACGAAGACAGACCAGTCAATTACGCAAAAGTGTTCCAAAAGCCGGGTGAATTCATGATTGCAAAGGTTTACTCCGACTTAACAAAACAAATTAATAACAAAAGGTACAGACGTTTCGCCACCTATGCAGGTGGCATCTTCAGTATACACTGCCACAAATGAGGTGAGGTCGACCAGTCTACTTATCACACACGTCCCCGTAAACGTCCGGCAGGGGGCCACGGTTGGTGTTGCACACCGATGAGTCACGGCGAATGAACCAGGACTCGACGAATTTTCTTTGCCCCCACCTTTGTTCTCGGGCCAGCGTCGTCGCATTGTCCAGGTCGAAACTGTGTCCTGTCGTCCAGCAGTCTTCGACAAGTTCCGTCTTGGACCGCGTGGCATGGGTGGCCTTGGCAACGTCCCTTTGGTGTTCTTTCAATCTCGTTGCCCTCTTTCTGCCCGTTTCGCCTTTTGTTATTAATTTGTTATGTTAAGTCGGAGTAAACCTTTGCACTCATGAATTCACCCGGCTTTTGGAACATTTTTGCATTTGTCCGAGTTCTCTACGGAAGTATTCTCCTTGGCACTGTGAGGGAGTACATCAACCAGTCTACGAAGATCGTGCGGCTGGAATGTCACCTGCCCTTCAACTACGAGTGCCTGAACAACAACGTGGTGCACAGAAGTCTCCACTGCAAGACCCTCGTCGACACCCCCTACGGCCGCACGCTCGCACGGAACTCCAGCCGCAACTGCCTGAAAGCCAGAATACAGGATAACAAGCAAGAAATACAGCAAGTAAGACGTCGTGTGTACGCGGCGGAAACCTGTCTCCGCTCTAGGCTTCGTCCCAATGATTTCCACGACATCATCAGGGCGCGCAAACAAGCTGAAGATTTGGAAAGAGGCAAGTGCACCGAAATCCATCGCCAGAAGTTGTCCCGGTTGTTACCTCGCCATCGGCCAGAACAGGATAGTTTAGAAGCAGTGCATAACTTTTCCTCGAAACGTCTATCGGACAACCACATGAGCTTATTGTCGAAGGGCCTGAATTTCGCAATTGCCCCACGGAAAGTGCCCAAACGTGATATCATCGTGGAGGTTGAGGAGAAGTTGCGGCATATCCAGGATACAACTGGGGTAAACTTGGCTCGTAGCCGAATTGTAAGTGTCCTGGCTAATGCAAAAAGCACTCGGACGAACCTCACCGCTGGGGAACGCACGGCGCTAAATGATCTCAAATCAGATAAATCTATCGTTATCCTTTCGGCAGATAAGGGAAAGGCTACTGTGTTGGTAGATCGAAAGGATTATGGGGAGAAAATGTACAGCATCTTGAACGATCCCTCGCACTTTATGAAGCTGAACCGTGACCCGACAGCAAAGTCAGAGCGCCAGCTCGTTGAACATTTACGGGTACTGCGTAACAAAGGACGTTTGGATCAAACGTTGTACCGCCGACTGTTTTCTTCGGACGGAGCCACTCCAACCATCTACGGGCTACCTAAGGTGCATAAAGAGGGCTGCCCTCTCCGTCCTATCGTGTCTTTTGTAGGTTCACCAACTTACAACCTGTCGAAGTTCTTGGTTGAAGTGCTGAAGCCGTTAACTGTGGACAACTCTAGGTCGGTTAGAAACTCTCGCGATTTTGTAACCGAAGTCCGTACGCAGCAGCTTGATGATGACGATGTGATGGTGTCTTTTGATGTTATCTCATTGTTTACAAATGTACCCATTGGCCTGGCTATCGATTATGTAGAGGCGCGTTTGAAAGAAGATTGTAATTTGGAGAGTCGTACGTCCTTACTTGTGGAGGATATTATAATTTTGTTGCGGTTTTGCCTGAATCAAACGTACTTCAGTTTCGCCAACACGATTTACCATCAAATCGAAGGGTGCCCTATGGGAAGTCCCATTTCTGTTACCGTAGCAAACTTAATGATGGAGCACGTCGAAACACGGGTGCTAAACTCAGTACCCTTTCCGGTGAAAATTTACTGTAGGTACGTAGATGACACTTTTGTAATTTTGAAAAGAATCAACCTAGATGCTTTCCACGTGACGCTGAACAGCGTACACCACGCCATTCAGTTCACGTACGAAACAGAGACAGATAATGTGTTGCCTTTTTTGGATGTGTTGGTACGCCGGGCCAGTAATGGCAGTGTGGAATCGACGGTGTACCGTAAGCAGTGTGACACCGGAAATTTTTTGTCCTTTGACTCGCATCACCCGACCGAACACAAACGGTCCGTTGTAAGAACCTTTTTATCACGTTGTGATGCAGTGTGCTCTAACAAGCAGCTACGGTTGCAAGAGGTAGAAAATGTGGTTGGTGCGTTAGAGCGGCACCATTATCCGAGGACGTTTATTAACGATACGCAGAGGCGAATGCAGAGGGGAAGGGGGAGTGAGTCACGAGTGCGGGCAACGTCTATTGTATCTATTCCCTATGTCCAGGGCGTGTCAGATGCTGTTCGGAGAGCTTTGCGCCCGCTGGGCGTACAAACTGTTTTTAAACCACATTATACCTTAGCGAATGTGTTCCCGACACCGAAGGACCGCACCTCTGCAGACGGTCAGAGGGGGGTCGTATACAAAGTGCAGTGCGGGGATTGTGACGCGACCTACATCGGCGAAACGGGCAGAAAAAGGGCAGCGAGATTGAAAGAACACAAAAGGGACGTTGCTAAGGCCACCCATGCCACGCGGTCCAAGACGGAACTTGTCGAAGACTGCTGGACGACAGGACACAGTTTCGACCTGGACAATGTGACGACGCTGGCCCGAGAACAAAGGTGCGGGCAAAGAAAATTCGTCGAGTCCTGGTTCATTCGCCGTGACGCATCGGTGTGCAACACCTACCGTGGCCCCCCTGCCGGACGTTTACGGGGACGTGTGTGATAAGTAGACTGGTCGACCTCACCTCATTTGTGTCAGTGTATACTGCAGATGCCACCTGCATTGGTGGCGAAACGTCTGTACCTTTCGTTATTAATTTGTTATGTTAAGTCGGAGTAAACCTTTGCAACCAGTCAATTATACAATAAAATGTCTCAACAGAGCAGTCCTAATATTTGGCTTGAAAGCTGAATGGAAAGAAGACGAAGTGATAATAACAAACCTATAATGAGATAGGGTCCATATTTTGGTCTCTACAGTGATCGCCAGCCAGAAAAACGTAATGGTGGTTTATTATGCTCGGGTTATACACTTCGCGATTAGAGAGGTTGTCTACCGCGTATTGGTGCAAACGCAAGAGGTGTGCGTCTGCGCTAGCGTTGCGTGCTTCACACTGTGCATGCGCGTCGTCGCCATGCCGCAGTCCATGACGCAGTCTTGGCTCCGTACATGCGTAGTGGAGACGATGCTATTTCATTGAGGACGCAAAGCTTTTGCGGTCGCTATTCTAAAACTTTTTATATTTCTTAATCGTTCTTACGGCCAAATACCCAATCTCACGTACTGCAGAGCGACAACGAGGTGGCTATATCCAGGGTTTACTCACGTGCCACTGTTCAATCTCCCAAAGATGGACACCCACAGGGAGCCGTTTGTAGCAAGCCGGGTAGCAACCATGCCTCGAACCCAGGTGAGGGGAGCGCTGTCGGGTTTCACGAGGTTCCAGAGACTGCCATTGGCGTTTTCGAGAGAGGTTTCGGTAACTGCCTGAAATGGAAGACAATGATTTTGCTAGGTTATCACGTAAAATTGTAGTATGCTGCAGGAAACCTGGAGCATTTCCGTTTCCACGAAGCACTTAAGAGAGTGAATGACTGCAAGTCACGATGAACAGGGAAGGAGTTTGGTGAATGACGAAGCTGGTAATATGTAATATGACCTGTAAAGTGTCATGGCTGTGGTACCGATCGTGGTGAAGCGTCACGTGCAGTTTTGCAGCGCAGACAGCTGTTTAAGGTCTAAACATATGTTCAACCTTGTCATTTGTTCAACTTTAACCGTAAATTGCAGTGATCCACTCTGTTAACCAAATGTGATTAACGCTTCTTTTTATGTTATGAGGTGTTCTATTCGATGTCTTTGCCCGAGAGTTTAATTTTATAACTATTTTGTGTGTGTACATGTACCCAATGTATTTCTATCTAACTGATCATGTTCTTTGTGTGCTGCGGAATGCTGATGGTGGCAAGACTTTTCTATCACAGCTTGCAGGCATGATGACGCAATGCCCGCCTTGTCCGGCTAGAAATGAGCTGAATCACGAGAAAAAAGGCCGTTCTTTGAGCGAGCATGATAGGCTCAACAGACGTAAATCTTAGTCAGCTTTAATCTCAGGTCGAGAAAGTGCAAATGCATGCCATCCTGGCGTTCGTATGTAAGGTTGAATACCCCATTGTGACGCTTTAAACATCCATCACAGAACCAACAACATTATCTACCGAACCATTATCATCTCCTTTTCATACAACCACGTTGCCATTCACGAATATAAATAGCCTAGCTGTTAACGCTGCTTGCATAAAATGCTCACTATTGTATTGGTCTATCACCGGTGCTACACATGCGCTAATGTGTATGACATGCTTTTCTAAGTAGTAAGCACCGTTAAACTGATGAAGTTGAATTAAATGTGGAACTCAACCAGTACCATGAAACCACGTCCACTCGCTAGTATTCTGAAACTTAGCCACTCCGCCTGTGTCTATACATTCTCGCATAGAATCAAAGATGCCATCGTAGGGTACCGACTAAAACAAATAAACAACGTGAATGGAGAGTGCAGCCGCATTCTCGTGAGTACTATGATTAAGTACACAGCTATCGCCTACGAGTTCCGCACGAGAAGAGGATATGTTCTTGAAGGGTTGAACTGTTTGATGCGTTGTGCAAAGGGAACCTTTTCCACCTATCTGGTAAAACCTGAAAAACGTGGTGTCGTGTTTTCATGAAAAACGAGTCAGTCTCCTTCAGGCAGATAAGAAGCGGTTGTTTGTCGAACTGCCCCAGTACATGTTTGGGACCAAGTACTTCCCAGCAATATCTAAGAACATCAAGTTGACGACTATTGACCCGAAGAAAGTCACGGGCGCTGCTTTGGCATTAGCCTTGAAATGTGCAACTTGGTAATGGACATCCAGAAAAGCAAGGCTGGCGAAGTAGATGTCTTTTTCACCGTCAAAACACAAAAGGAGGGGTTTGAATTTATGACAATTGTTACTAAAAGAGACACTTGGCAACAGTTAGTGAGCCAATAACTACCGAAGCAATTAAGCACCCTGCATCTAAGTGACCCCGTTTTGGTTGGGAAGTCACAGGCGATTGTGGAATACTTACATAGTTCTAGTCACGGGAATGCGGCTGGGTTCTCCATTGACGTAGCTGATATGTTTTACTCGGTACCCTATGAGGGCCTCTTTTCTTCGTGGCTTGAATGTATGGACACAAGGGAAGCTGTTATGTCTCAGAATACTAGCTTTGTGTGATTGGACGGTTTCATGGAACTGCTTGAGTTCTATCTTTACTCGACCTTTATTTGGTTTAACGGTGCGCACTACTTGCAAAAGGATGGCATATGCAATGACTCATGTGTAGCACCGGTGCCGTGTGATATTTTCTTGGACATGCTAGAGAAACCTATTAGTTAGAATTTGGATGCAAGCAACGTCAATAAGGTACCAGTATTTGTGGAAACTACCTAATTGTACGAAAGAGAGCTGATAAGATTTCGGTGAATAACCTTGTCGCTTCTGTGTGAGATGCTTTAAGGGTCTCCCTGGGAGATGAAATTTACACATGATTTCCAGGATGTCATTCTTTTGGAGTGTCTCGATCTAAAACTGATGTTCACTAAGAATCACGTTTGTTGGGCCGGTTATCCCCGCAGAGAAAAAGGCTTTTGCGGTAGATTTAGGTTATTTCAGCTGATCACGAAGGGTATGGAGTCATCATGCCTGAAAGCTGCCCTAGAGAAGTCTTGCCATCATACGCTTCAATATAGCTCTAAATGGCAGGTTGAACGGCATGACACTGCGGGTTTTCAGTGTCAGTATTGCTGTCTGTGTCCGAAAAGCTACCCGGAAAGATTAAGAAAGGACACCAACATTGTAGGGAGCGACCAACCAAGAGTTCACAGGTAATACCTTATTTACATATGTTGTCTGATAATATGAAAAAAAAAATAGCGGGGCGGTATATTGTACCGGTTATCTTGGCGCCTAGCAAACTGTTGGAACTATGCTCCATGGTTGCTGATAGGGGAAGAAATTAAACAAATGTACTCTAAACCACAGAATAACTTGCGGTAAGTTTAAGGTGGGGGTGGTGCATCGAATCCCGTTATCTTGTGTTCGAGCATACATCGGAAAAAAGGGTCGTTGTGTCAACGATTGAGCGCGCACACACGCGTTGTCGTTGAGCTAAGCTTTGGAAATGTAAGTCAAACTTTGACTCTATTACGAGTGAAGGGAAAGGGGCTGATAAAACTGCAAGATAACTGTTGCAAGTGTATGACTTAGGAAAGGAAGACGCAACATGGGTCGGTCAAACTTCAGTTTGCTTAAACCACGAATAAGGTAGCCTTCTTGAAGCACGTGTCGACGAGATAGTGATGTGGATGGTTAGTTCGACGTCTTCACTTTTTGGAAATAATCAATTGAAGAGTACAGTGCTTTCCCGTCTACCTTCGTTTTCTTTGTTACTTGTGCTCTGTTTCCGGTTATTTCAAAACCAACTCGGCTAAATCATCCCTTTGAGCTATCAGGAAGTTTAGAAGCCTTTATCAATTTACGATGCACGATCAAAAATAGTACAAGCTGTTAGTAAATGATACATCTAGGTCTCACAAGAAACAATGTTTTAGAAGTTGTTGTGCAATGTTAAAATTGGTGAGACCAAAGGTAGTTACCACTTGAAAATGAAATTAATGTTGCAGTATTTTGATGGTATCATAGTACAGTAAATTCCTAGCTCTAATCACGTTTTCTTCCTCATTAAGAATGAAGCGATGACTATTTAGTGTGAAAAGAATTCGGTGTTGCTGCGATATATATTGCCTCATTTGCGCAGAGGAATATTTCGAAGTTTCTTTGATTTAGTCATCATCTAACACTTTTCACCTGACCTCGACATCTGTACATCTGTTATAGCACCGCAATCAATCAAAACATTCCCCAGTTCCCGTTTCCCCGGTATAGCTTTATGTATTTTATTTTGTATATATTTTTTTTTTTTTTAATTTGTAATGTATGTGTTTTGGGAGTTTATTTCCCTTTTTGGTGTTTTTGTTTTGTTGCAGGAAAGATAAAACCGCCGTGGTTGCTTTTGAGCACACAAAATATAGTTTAATATTATTATTACACTGAAACCTCGTTACATACCGTGCCCTTTACATTCCAGCACGCGTCCGTTATTTTGGATTTGATTTAAACTCCAAATTTCAAAATAAAGGCTCAAATATCTAGAAAGAATTTAAAAAAAGCATATTAACACGTTTCAGGAAAGTTTTAGCAACGGTTTTAGTCGCCGAGAATGCTTGCCAAAATGAAACAACGATAATCAAACAATGAAATTTATTACTTTTTACGGTAAAGCCTTCTACGGAATCAAACATGCTATTAATATTATGTATAAATTCTTAATTTAAAACACTTGACTGCTTTATACCTAATCTAAAAAGAAGATTCGGCACCTATGGTATTCATTCGTATTTTTGGTAAACTTAGCTTCCTCTGTTTTGTCATTTTGTGAACATGCTAAGCAACACTTAGTGACACTCGAACACTTAATTGGACAAATCTTCGGAAAGAGTAAAGAAGTTGCCCTTCACATATTAGAAAATGATACCAGAAAAAAACAAAATATTGAAGGATGGTATCTTTGAAAGACACAAATGTTTCGAGGAGCAATACTTACTAGGCCTGCTGAGGAAAGGTAAAAATCGTCTAAAGAAACCAGCGTTCCAGGGTATGAAGACATACTGACAGTGCGTCCAGGAATAATTTCACCTGAAGGAACACAGGATTTGCAATATTTGAACATGTTGTAGGCGTCAACTCGATGTTAAAGAGCGTAACAAAAAACGAGGAGCCCACTTTCTTGCTCCATCCCCTGAAGAACTATTTTAACCTACAGTTTCAAAAACGAAGGGTTTAGCTAGTTTCTGGCATCTTATTATCGAAGAGAATGAGTTTGCGGCCCTTAATATGATTATACTTATTAATATTATTATTATCTTCATTTGGTGCTGAATCCACATAGGCATTTGTTTTTGTCTTTATCTGTGTCGATGCTGCAAGTACTTGTATATTTGTATATAAGTGTACGGATCTGTAGATATAAATATCGGTATATAATATATATATGCCTCGGTGCATCTTTGTGTGATATATGCCTTTATACGCATATGTGTTTATTTTTTTTTGGCAAACATTTACAGCTTTTTTACTTTTTAAATATTTACATGGCCCATATATGTGTCTAAATATTACTTTGCCTTCAAGGATGGTATAGTGTAGCTATAGGAATCACCTCTGTGTGTCTTATTTATGCCATGTGTGAACTATTTTGAACTTCTATACTGACTGCTATTAGCAATGCCAAGAACGCCCGTCTACCACTCACTTTGGCTAACATCATTGCTGGGTCGAGTCACACAAGCCAACACTGGCTTTGACAGACCCGAGTATTATGTAATCAAGAAATAAAAATGCTGGAATACATTTTTATTATTAATGTTACCATTATTACCGTTGTCATTATTATTAGCCAAAAACAACGCAGAAGACCGAATCACCAAGCAAGAATCTTGAACATAACAGGCTGTCAGCGACTATAATACACATAACTCGAGAGCATTCACACCTTACGGGCCAGCGGTGTTTGAAAATAATGGCAGTTAATGTTTTTGTCGATATTAGGTACACATTTGATATTTTCCATCTCAGTATTGTAACAAATACTGGCGTGTGCCAGATTAAAAACAAAAATTGTTTCAAGGCTTGGGCGAGATGACGTGCATTTTGCATACCTCTGTGCGTATACAAAGTTTCTTGGCCATTCTGTATACCCTCCCGTGCATTTTATGGCAGCACAGCGATCAAGACTTTTGTGGTATCCGCTCGGAAGTCACCTTTTTGCACTCAGCGCGAGCTCAGTCCGAAGCACTGGAAGACCATGTGTTCACTATTATAACGCAAACAATGCTCATGTATCATAGTAGATGACACCTTAAAGATCGCAATGCTAACTTTAATCTTTTTACCTTAATGTTCCTATTTTTCCTGATGATTCGTTATTTGGATTTCTTATCCATTAATGCCCGAATCTCATTGGGTTCGAAGCGATAATAAGTTGCTCACGAGTCGGCACGCCCTTGATTTCTTGAGCTTTCAGTGAGAGCACTCCGAAAGACGCTCTTTCTATCACGAGAGGTCCGACGATTCACCAGGTCCAAACACCTTTCTACCTCGACATGAAGTCTGCAGCGTGTCAATGAGCGGGACTGACATAAGTTGTCAGCTTCCTTGTCAGACTTGGTGTTAGGGTGTGAGTGCTTTTCCATTCAGTCTTTGTATTCCTCAGATTTCCTTCCTAGTTTGGAGTGATTGGCTTTCCCACAGTTCTTAGCGCAGACGGCTTGCACATTTTGGTGTGCGACTTCGCACTTGTGAGGCCAATTCTGTATGATATTTTCAGTAAGTCTTGAATTTATACAAGGTTAAATTCAGGCATGAGATGACGTTTGGTGACATTTTTAGAAATATCTAAAAATTCCAACGTGGTTCGCCTCTACCCGGCCTCACATGTTTGATAAGTTGTGCTGCTGAACCTGAAACAAAAACGTACCTTATAATACCAACCAAGCGGAAATAAGAGTTATTACAAACCTAAGTTGACAAGAAGCCTGATAAATCGACTGTTGGTTTGCATGATGTGACCCAGTCCAAAGCATGCGCTTTTGGAATTTACATTTGAATGCACTTCTAGAATGTAAATCCCAACCGAAGTTTGATAGGTCAACAAGCTAATTTCCTCTGTAATTCGAAGAGAGCTCACTATAATGCAGTTATCTAAAAACTAAAGTGAAGACATTTAAATTTTATCTGGCACTGCGGTTATACCAGTGTGGAAATAATGCAAATTAGTATTATTTCCTGCCATACCTGCGTAACTACCTTATCTGGGCACGTCACCTGAGAGCTCCTTTGTTGAAGACCTCACGCAACGGAAGCGGGAATGCGAGGATCGAGAGACTTTGAAAAAACAAGGATAGACATCGACATTGGGTGGAAAGTCCGTGACGGATATTATCTGTAATACACAATGCTTTTAAACAGCTACTCGTTTCAAGTCTGCGAGCATCATTATTACATTAACGCAACTATTATTTTTCAGGTATATAACCTACTAGAGAAGTTTTACTATTGCTCATGGGAGCAAACGCGAGCGCTGTACATTTGTGTTAGCGTTGCGTGCTCCACACTACGCACGCGCGTCGCCACCGCGCGTCAATCGAAAACTCAATTCGGGCTCCGCCAATGTGGAGTGGCGACAAAGCTGTTTTTTTTGTGCATACGAAAAACGCTTGCATACGCTATTCTAAAACTCACTACCATATCAATCGACTTAAAAAACGCAGGGTCGCAACCCTTAAAAGGATACTTAAGCGCAATATCTACCTCACAAAACAAGGCTGGACGGATAGGAGGGACGCTGCAAAACTAAAAAAGACACCAGTTATAGAGCGATATCTATAACGCAGTGTGTCTCAACTATTGATACGGCTTGAAGCTGAGCTAGTTGGTTCATGGTTGTTAAAGTGCCAGCTGAATGTTTTAAGGACACACACACAGCGGTGTGTCTGCCTTTTTTGTTCGTCTCTGTGTGTGTGTCCTTAAAACGTTCAGCTGGCACTTTAACAATCAACCATTGATGTTTCGCGGACACCTTGTGGATCGGCCAAGATGACGGAGGTTTCCTTCGTGGTGAAGGGAAGGGAAAGGTATAGGCTAATTATGATAATGATTTAATCAATAAATATAACTAAGGGCTAGAGTGAAGTAGACTTCTCTCATTGACCTACACACTAAAAAACTCACAAAAATTGGAAAGTTTCCTCTCAATCTGATAAAAAAAGACAAGTTTTATTGCCGTGCTTGATTGATGAGGCAGGGCTTGCGGACCCCTACAATGCCTTCGCGTATCCCAAAGGGTCCGCGGACCCCCATTTGAGAACAAATGCTCTAAGGGATCGCCGTATTTTCGGAAAAGAAGCGCGCGATGGAGCACGGCCGACGAGGCCTACGAGATAAGTTACGTCACGATTCACATTCACCCTCCACCTCGCTACGCCCCGTCGAGCTTGTGAACCAAAGCGAGGAGGAGATAAGTGAAGCCGCTTCCCTTCATTCTAAAATTTTTCAGGGGGATAATGACGTCATAACCCTTCGCTTGATTGCGCGAATCTTTTTCCAAAAGTACGGCCATCCGCTTGAGATATCAACGTATGAGGGATGTTTTGGAGTTTGTAGTGTCGCGTCCAACGCTTTTTCGGCCTTATTTTGCAAAAAAACAAATTTCAGTTCAGTATCCCTTTAAGAGCCAATAGTACATGGGTATATTTATAATCCTACAAGTAAATATTTAGTAATATGTATCAGTGCTTTAGTTAGACATTCATTTATTTCAAGAATTTACAGTAATAGTTTTGACACGACTCTTTCCCTTTCTCCTTGATACCTCACACTCGTCTTTCCGCTCAAACATAACAGGAACATGTCGACTAGCACTGGCAGAAACGATATGTCCAATATAATTTTTCTTCTATATACAATGCAGCATTCCGCCATTTAAAACAACGCGGTGAGTGGGCCAGTTGGTACTGAAACGACATGATGAAAAACAGGGCACACAGGACAGGACGATTGGAGAGAAACACATAAAGCACACACGCGCTGACTCGCAACTGATATTTGTGATATCAGTTGCGAGTCAGCACTTCTGAGTTCTGTGTGTTTCTCTCCTGTTGCCCGCGTCTGTGTGCACTAAATTTTATTATGTCGTGCCAATTGAAACCTCTGTTCTAAACACCCACTTACCAAGCAGCAAAAGGTTTAAGTAGAAAAATTGGGGCCGTTTCGGCAGGTGAGGAGCGGAATATAAATAACTAAGTTTCCGAACTATTGTACGGAAACAACCCCTATTTGAAATTCTTTACGCGGTGCGGCTATCCACCGGTTGTGCACTATCGAAGGATTTTTTTTTTTAGATTTTTCAATATGTCGAGTCAGAACAGTACAATAAAATACTAAAATGACAATATCAGTGCGGCAATGGATTAAGCCATCAAGGCTCAGCAATGCAAGCTCCTTTTGTGGGCTAATCAAGTAGGCACTTGTGAGGGTGGGCTGTGTTTAAATAATCATTGTTATACTTGCATACTCTAGTTACTGGCATCATTAGAAACCTAGGGCGTGGCGAGACACAAGCATTTTTCTCGCTTCAGTGCGGAGCCCAAGTTCGTCTGCTCCTTTTGCAGCGGCTGTGGCGACGTCAAAACACCGAGCTCTGATTCGCTGGGATTGAAGGATAGTGGGTAGACCTCAAGGCAGCTTGCTCTGACGTCCACCCACTATCCTTCAATCAGAGCCAAGCACAACTCGGTGTTCTGACGCCACCACAACTTCTGCAAAAGAAGCAGACGAACTCGCGCTCAGGATAGGATTGCTGAATTTTCCGATAGGAATACCTAAGCAACCGACACTGGTTGCTGCTGACTGAACACGGGGTGCGGACTTCTAGGAAACGCCAAGCGTGTCTTATTCAGGTTCTAGCTTTTTGCCTTCTGATTTGTTCTCCGGTACTCTTATCGGATAATGCTGTTATCTCATTGGCTGCGGAACAAATATAAGATTTTTGGGACTCGATACACACCATATATCTTATGTTAGCTTCGTTTGATTTACCTGCACCTCCTGCACCGGGCGGAAATGTGTAGGGTGGTGTACTTCCTGTCGTATCTAAATGCACATACCGGAAGTACACTGCCCTACACTTTTCTGCACCGGTCCAGGAGGAGCAGGTAAATCGAACGAAGCTAGTGTCAACGACTCTAAGGGTCGAGATGCTTCGGTGGTGCCCTCTGTTGGTTTCCGGTTGTGACGTCACGACCAGAACTTTTCTCGCTGTGACGTCATCATTAGTGATCTTTGACTACTTATCATCAGTTTCAAACTGTAGTGCATTGGTATGTGTATAAATAACAACGGAAGCTAGGGGTGAACAGATTCTTAAACCAACAACACAGTCACAATTTACACTCTGACATTGCGCTGATTTGTTTCGATGAAAGAAAAATGAATCCGGGATAAAAACGTCGCAGTGAGCATTCGGCCAGTCGCGAAATGTGACCACAGCGGCGTTTTTGGTAGCGCACGTCGCTTATACCGACCTCAAAAATCTTCGTGTTTTTTGTTTTTCTCGCACTTACTCGATTTGGACGTGTAGTGCCAGGGAAACGCGTACCTCTTCTCAATCCTGAGCATGCTTCTGTACACGAACCACGTGTTGTGACCAACCAGAATGTCCTCGTTTTCTCCGACAACTTTGATGAGAGCCGAACATGTGGGTGCTCTATCGATGCTGTTGTATGAGTTTTTATTGACAACTCCGACCAGGCCAATCAAGTCTCCGTCAAGGTTGAAGTATCTGGAAAGTGACGCATTATTCGGCGTTCTCTCTTACAGAGCGGCGATAATTCGCATGATATATTCGTGAAATTACGCTCCCGCAATAATTTGATACAAATGCAATACATGGTCAAGAGTGGCGAAACATTACGTGTTAAAAACTCCTTGGCTAGATTTCGGAAGTTTTCATTTATAATACATTTTTTAATTTATAATTTATATTTATATTTCGATTTATATTTATATATAATTCTACGTGCCTAATTTGGCGAAACATTTATCTTTCGACGAAAACTATTAAAAAACGGATTTCGAGATCATGTTTTTGTTTGGTCAACACGTTCTGAAAAACAGAATTGGCAAACTTGGGCTCGAAGCTAATAACCTGCCCCAATATCACCGCAGAGTTACAGTATTTGTCCTTAAGAACCTTAAGGACATGACTCACATTTTGATGTGACGCGGGTTGATATTTAGTTACACGTTTAGGTGTAAAACTAAGTAGAAATTTTTTTACCGTTTGCACGTAAGCAGATAATACATTCTCTATTGATGTAAGCTAAGGGTGCGGGAAAAACAAAAGCAAATTAATAAATACTATTTGCAATCCTTCCCAGCGACACTTCGAAAACTGCAATATTAAACTATAAAGAGCTATACTACTATTTCGATTAAATACCAATCGGTTTTTTATATTATATTAACATACAAATCTTACGAAATTTATACAATGTACGAAACTGCTAGAATATATCTTTGACATGCATAGCATGTATTACTCATGTATTCTTTTTGAGTGTGTGCATCTTGTCTTGCTTTCGATTGCATACACCACGCTGCACCACGGTATAGAAACCAGGCCAGCGTACACGTGAAGCCGCCAAGGGGCTGGTTTATTTTTCGCAATCCCTCTATTTGTGTTGTTGCAAGTTGGAAAATAGACTAATCTTATATATCGCCTTACCACAAAGGTAGTGCTGCTAAGTGGCTATACTTAGATGCGTGATGTGCAGGTACACAAGTATAATCTTACACTGGTGGTTTCTGTACGCCACTCAAAACGTGAATTGCCTTACTTGCACTTACAGCGCCTTAGTGACGTTTAGATACTCGTTTGATACGTTCAGGGTCTTGTTCTCAAAGATGTCGCTTAAACCGGACAGTTGCTTCATTTGTAAATGAACCTGTGAAACAAAAGTTGAGAAAAAAGTTAGTCGAAATATCGCTTTTGATGTACACTTAATAAATTTTTTCGGTAAAGAATAATAGTCAGATGTGCCAAAGACTTGAAGAAGGAATGACATGACTTGAGATTATGAGTGCTCGAACGTTTTTGTTTTCTTCTGACGATGGTAAAAGTAACAACGTAATCAATATACGCAGAGAATGAGAACATACGCAGCAGATGACGAGGTCTGTTTGTTGTGTTTTTTCTTTTGTTGGTTTGCATTGCAGGTTTTTTGTATTTCATTTTAACTATTTGAAATAGATAAACATGCATGGCGATTGCAATCAAAGTCACTCATACTGGCTTGAAGTACCCTGTAGTTGAAGTAATTGTGAATTGGTTTTTATGTCACACAGTGTCGGAGTACAAATGTGACTGCGTATCAGTGACATCATAAAACTGTTCGGATCTTCGTTCGAGACATTCCACCACCAGGATGTACAAAACAAAAATAAGTCATAGTTGCAGTCTCTGTAGTTTTTCTTTGTCTGCACCACAAGTACACTTGAGCGAGGCGAAAGCATTTTACTTATAAAAAAGTGTAATTAAACTACCCAATTTTAACGTGGTAGCAGAGTAAATTGATATGACCAAGTGAGAGCAATAGGTCAATTACAAAAAAAATGCGGACCATTTAGTAGCTACTGTGTCAGTCACCAAAAGATGTCGTAGTTTGATTATGCACTCTGATTATGTATTGAACATGAGTGCTGTATTAGCGTGAGCTGTGAAGTCGGGTTTAGTGACACTTTTCAAGCAGGAGCAACAAGGCGGTTGCCTAAGACACAGCGACTACCAATGTTGTGGGATGAGGTTTCTTAGGGGGACTTTTTTGACCTCTGTAAGTGCGTGAATTACAATAGGCATTGGGCCAAGTAGGTGTACACACTAGTTTCAGGGCCGCAGGGGTCAAACCACTATCATCACTTTTTCAACTTTTCATTGACAGCGTGCGGATGTGCTTCATGCAGAATAACAAAAAAAATACCGTTGTTGTACGAGTAGCGGTTTCGTTATAATATTTCCGTCTGAGCGTCTTATATGACGGTGGGACTTTTATGCGCTTTTTCAAGTATGGACCTTCCCAGGTATCGCGCAAGACAAAAGGCCCAACTTGGCGCAGGCTTGCCCATCCTAGGAGCTTAACTTCAACGTAAAACGGTCTTGCTCCAATGCGTTTATTAGCGCCAAAGTTTTTTTTTCATTTTTACAGCGTTTCTCTGGCTCGCCAAATAACCGCCAAAGCGCCAGACTTCAGCCAAAGATGATATGTATAAAACGAAGAAACAGCAGCAAACCATCAATCTGGAACTTGGTAGGGATTCAAAGCTACCTACCATATGCCAATAAGGATCCGTAGACTGATAGAGGCGTTCTTGTCTATTCGAGTACTCGAGGTTTTTCAGAAGAAATTTCTCAAGCCTCCCACAAAACGAAGGCTGCATTTTGCAGTAGTCGGCGTACATATTGTTATAATGTTTTTCCATGAGGTCCCGCGTAAGGTGGGCCTCCACCGCACCGGCGGCGTATGCTTGAATTTCGTCGGCATACGAAGCGTTTGACTCCACATTCAGGAAGGCCCAGCTTTAAAGAAAGAATAGAATGTGTTAGTTCTTACTTTGGTGACCGACGCTTCTAATAAACTGTCTGTCACAATGGTTGAATATTTTCAGTACCTAGCTCGCACAAGTATCACAGAATTGTTTAATAACGACAGATTACTTTCTGCAGGCGATAAATAGTTGTGAGAGCCTGTAAAACTCTAAATAAGTTTCGGCAATGTAAACCAGAAGGATCTCAGTGTTGAACTTATAGTAGTTATGAATGATAAAATATTTCACTAATTTTATTGGGTAGGCATATATTGGCATAAAAGTTTGAGCATTGCGAAAAAAAAATACAGAGTTGGTGTCTCAGGAATAAAAATGTAGTTCTTTTGATTTCGCAGAAAGCTGTTATTCATTTTAAAAAAAATACTATTTCTTGTAGAATGCTAATTTTTTTATATGGAATAAGCATGGTTTCGAATACAAGAATATCGATACACCTTAGCACTGCAGCCCTTATACACAAGTATATTTGTCAAACAATCACATGACGTAATAAAGGTATGTTTGTAATTATGTTACATATTTAGATATTCAAATTCGATGCGTTTTTTATAAAACAAAAATTAAAAAGAAGTCGTGAAAGCAACACAAATGTAGTCTATGCAAGTGAATTATACGGCCAGGCGGTCATCATGTTCTAGAGAAAACGCAACTAAAAGATGACTAATTACCGAAAATTCACTAATTACTCTTTTTAATTTAACATTTTTGGGCACATCCTTATGTAAAAGAAATGGAGGTAATTAGTGTCGAAGGCCAGAGCAGCTTTCTAAAATCCTGGATCGAGCGCACAGTTGGCTGTGTATGGCAGACTAAAGCGATAAGCCATCTTAGAGGCCACGACAAGTTAATTTGGTTTGCTGCACGATGTCACTGAACAACGTTTTAATCATGGGTGCGAATCAGTGATATCGCGCAGAAAGCAAAGCAACTTGTTGCGGCCGTTGACATGGTTTATCCATTCAGTCAATCATCTCCAGAGCTCTCCATTGAAAAATACTGACGCAAATTTCGTCATTAACACGTGACCCTCAAAGTCGAACGATGGTTGTCCTTCCGGCGGGCATCGAACATTAGGTCTCGGTATCGCAGATTTCCAGAACAAAATTTAACAATGAATACCAACAGCTGCGCGCTCGATCCAGGATTTTGGAAAACTGCGTTCGCCTTCAAGATTGATTACCTCCATTTCTTTAATATAAACGTGAGCCCTAAAACGTCTAATTAAAAAAAAATATTGTACATTGTCGTTAATTAGTCAATTTGTAGATGCATTCTCACTTGATCATAAAGTCCGCCTGGCCGTATAACTCACTGTCATAGAACAAATTTGTGTAACTTTCACAACTTTCACGGCTTTAAAAAAATTATATTCGTTAAAAAACACCCTGTATATTACATGAAGAAAAGTTTGATAAAGCAATACGTCTTTTCAGTAAAATACTTGAAGTAAAATTTGTTTCATCAACTGTATTTGATTGCGAAACATAGGAAGGCACATAAACATGTATTTATTTTTTCGCCGAGGTATTTTAATAAAGAGTACTCCGACATAAAACTCTATAAAATTTCCGCAAAATAAGCCTTTCAAACAAGGCGCAGGCAAGGAATTCGACAACATTGGTTAAACGTGGGAACTTTTTTTTTCTGAACTGGGAACGTTGCAATGGAAAGTCAAAAGAGCCTGAATTGAACCTCTTTGTCCATAGCACCGCCAATATATAGCTTTCTCTTGCATACGCACAGTGCACATCTATCTTCATTAAAATAAATAAAAAAATACAGTTTTATTTGTTCTGGACGAATGATCCAAAGGACAATTGTGAAAGAAATATGTAATGCTGCACGTCCGTCAATTGTGGGGGGAAAACGCGTAGAATTATATCACGGGATATCTTGGATCGTTTTTCGCCCTCCGTGTTATATATAGACCAACACGCGGCCTTGACGTCACGCAACCGCGGTGGCGCTGTAGACGGCACGGCGCATGCGCAGACGCCTCACTTCGCGCAAATTCGGTTCGTGCGCACGCGCAGTGCCCACACCTGGTGTGGGCAAACGCGGGCTTGTTTGTAAACAGCGTGTCGGTCTATACGTTAAGCGATTGGAAAAAGTACAATCGTACGCCCACGTGTCATCTAGTGAGTACTATTTGAACGAGACCTACACCGTGAGAAATCTCAAGCTCTTACTTTGCTGCAAGGCACTCGGGAAAGTCAATCGATGAAATCTATAGAGAAAGTTGGGTGTCTGACGAGGTCTTCAGTGCCACAGCGCAAACTCTTATTTTTAGAGCGAAACAAATTTCAGCGATAAAACAGTAAACGGGCAGGTGAGCTGGTGAAGGTTAGCCATGATGAATTTTATGTGCGTCTGTGGTAAGAAAAGAAAAAAATCAAACATTTGTGTCTCCCTTTCGTCCCGTATCCTCCCAGATCACCCACATCCCACTAAAGGTTGCAGCGATTGTCTTTTCAGAGTGGCTTCTGGTAAACCAGAAGCTCAGTATTCCATTGCATAAAGCATACAAAACAACTAACAGGAAACACGTTCATTCTAAAACTATATTAGAATACAGGTAAATCACAAAAGTAAGTTCGTTCTTGGAACTCTTCGGCTACATAAAAAGTAAAAAAAAACAAGAAAAACAAGAAAAAAAAAACGTTCACGCCGGTCTTAGTCAAATCGTTGTTTTCATACCCGCTGAAATGAATTTCACTCTCGAAGGATCCCCAGGCGACGGCTCCTGGTCCCGGTTTTCCGTCGTGGATCTGCAGAATATCTCCAGACTTTCCAACAGATGCCCACGCATACTGGCACTTTGAATACTTGGTAGTGGCCCCTGCCACTTGCAGCACCAGAAGAAGTGGAATCGCTAGATTCCCGAGCATGGTCCTGAAATCATGGGGTTCATTACACATCAAATGTTTTTTTTAAAAATGCACCACCGAGCGCAAGCTTAATTAAACCTGTTCTTTTTCTTTATCTACGCCTTGATTTTTGCCCAAAAGACGAGATACGGCCTTAAGACACAATGACCTATAATATTCTTATTTTACAATGGTAAAACTTGGTGCCCTTCAGACTTGTGCGTAACACATTACGACTAATGCGTTACTTCTATTAAGTAACTTCGTTCGGTATCAAAGTAACCACTTTGTTACTTTCCGAGGGAAGGAACGAGCGACGTATTTTCGTTGATTTTTGATGGAGTAACCAGTAACGGTATTTAGTTAATGCTAGAGTGAGACGTGCACCAGACACGCTACCCAAAATAAGGATGAGTGTGCAGGATATCTAATAAGCGATCATTAAAAATAACACAGAAAAGAAGACAAGAAAAAGGGGACAAACACGATACTGTTTTTCCCCTTTTATGAGTGACCTCGTTTCTTATGATTATGAATACCAGCTACCCGCCTGATTTTCATCCCAGCTGACGCATGTGACTTTACGAAGAAGAGTCACACAGCCAATCAAAGATATATGCATAAAGCATTACGGTATAATTACAGTGATCCCTGAATATATTAATTCAACTCCATATCGGCGAATGGCCCCTCATACCTGGTTAAGTTTTCAACAAACAAACACAACACAACCCCGTAGTGATGTGACCGCTATGGGGTTGAATGGAGCGAGAGGTTTGACAGAAATATGACTGATACTGCATCTCTGGTTCCTTCCGTTATTTTTTGTTCTTTCTGTTTCAAAGACTGCACTTCAGTTGCGAGTCAGCGTTCCTGCTGTCTGTGCGTTTCTTCTGGTCCGTCCGCTTTTTTTTTTTTTTTAGCAGTTTCCACATTATGATCGACGAATAGCAACTAGCCCAACTCGAGACGTTACATGGTCAAACTTGAACGCGCCGTCCGGAATCACAAAGAACCGAACTCAGCAACCATACTAGGACGTCTTCGCACCGATAAGCGAACTTCGAATATAATTTTGCATAATTCGGGTTCAAGGCGATCTCTTCGATAAAGAACACCATTGTTACCTCCGTCACCACAGGTGTACCCACGAATTTGGAATTCAAGGAAGAACGCTCTATCTACTGACATTGTTATGCTGAACACACAAAAATATCCTCCCGTGAGCAGCCAGCCAGTGCAACACAGTGAGCACAAACGTTTTTGTCACGCTCATCTTTCTACGCACATGCACAACATATGCTCACAACTGCAGCAACACTAATCCCCAGGTGATTCTTGCCTACAAAATATTGCATGGTGCGGGAATTCATTATGTCCATGAATGCGGTAAAAGCAAAAGTTATTAACGGCGGAAAAACTGGAAGGCGGAAACTGCTTAAAACAGGACAACACAATAAAAGTATAGATAAAGGACGGGTATGATGTGATCGAAAGTAACGCGTTCCCTTTAAATCCCAGTAACGAGATAGGTACTTCGTTTCTTTTCGAGTGACGAGCGGGTAACGATATGTTCTTACTTTTTACGCAGTAACGCGTGCATGTCTGGTACATTCTTCGCACGATGTCCGGCGGCCGTCTTACGCCAAACTCCGGGTGATCACGGGGAGTAAGCGGAGACACCGGTCCGCTATTATTATCTTCCCATCGCCGTCGCCCCTCGAGCAAAATTACGTAATTTACTGCAAAACCCGCACCTCGTAGATAAGAAAGCCCGAGTGCTGAATTTCCGCGCGTCACACAAAAGAGGTGATCGCATAGGGCGAAGATTGGACAGGAGTGCCGCGTCAGCGTTCGGCCTGATCTTTTGTCCAATCAGTGAGAACTCGAGTCTCAACCGAACGATGACGTAGCAGTTGTGTCCAATTTGTGCCCTGCGGTGGAATCTTTGAGTGACTCCCCCGACACTGCCATCCCTTGCGGCTTTCCATCCAAGGAATGGGTGTGGCAAGCACGCCGTTCTGAGCAAATACCACCTAGACAGAAGGCCTCTGCATGGTCTCTTCTCCCTCTACGAAACGTCATCAGAGTGGGATAGCGCCAACGCGGCTATTGGGCCCGAGCCCGACCTCCGATGCGCTGATTGGACACAAGCCCCAGCCAAACACTGACACAGCACTCGTGGCCAATCACACGCCTCGATCGACCTGACTGCGATGACGCGTGCGGAGGCCTTCTCTCTGGGAGGTGTTGATTGAGCCGACCAGATGTTGCGCAGTGGCAGGATAACAGAGAAGGACGCAGGATTCAGATGAGCATGCAGGAGAGGCAGCGCGTGTGCGCCTTTTACGGATCTCCTACAACTATTCATTAAAAGCAAATCTGGAAAAGAAAATCTGTCAACAACGTAGCAGAGCTGTTTGCAATTTTTTTAAGTATGCATGCCTTGACGAAACCTCCTGCATACCTCTGTTGTCTGCCTCATCGATGCTGGTCACTTTCGTGACGAAGTGAATAATGCTGTATAATGCACTCCTTTCTCGCCCACGTAGAGCACGCGAATTTGCGGTATATGTTTTTGCTTCCAACACAATTTGTTTTTTCAACTTAATTATTTATAATTTGGGTAATATATTGTAACTTTATTCTTAAACATTTGTCATTGGTGACCCCATTTACTTATATATTTCTTTACGCATTGAGGAAACAATCAATCAATCAATAAAAATAATTCCACATCCTAGGTGTTACCGTCGAAATCAAGATGTCAGATGGAAGTCAGGATTGCTGTGCATCAGCGCCGGTTCAAGAACTTCGTATTATTCGCTAGCTAATTTCCCGAATGTCAATCAGCGCTTATACTTCATTTTGGTTAGCTCTGTCGAAAACTTTACGTCAAGAGCGACATATCGCCTGCATATGTCAATTTACATTATAATAAACCAGACGTACAAAACGAGGGGATGACTATCGGACTGTGAATTTCTCCGCAAGGGGCCCGTTCTTTGTGACAGACGCAATTATTGTCACGTATTTGCGAATACATTTGGCCGCTACTTTCAACCTGAAGATATTTTAAAATCACTTATAACTTCGGATTCAGATAACGATGAGTTCTTGAATTCTGGAATCCGGCCCCAGAAGCTGCAGTTTGTTGCAAGTCGAGGTTTAAGCAGGACAAACCCCTCCTGTAAAGCTATCTGCATGTCATGATTAGATATTTCATTTTGTTCACTCACCTCCTTTACAGCGTTCACTTCGCTGAAATAAAAAGAGTGAAGGCTTTATAGCACGAGTGTGTCCTGCTCTTATTATCCCGAAAGAGGCTATATAGCGCTGCATTTTGGCGGAGACTGAATATTCGGTGATGCATCGTTTATTCTTGCAATAAATAAAAAAAAAAAGTTTTTTTTACCCGATTATCGAGTAACAGACTTTCAAGTGGGAGTGTTGAGCAAGGCGCCTCGCCGCTTCGTATTCACAAATAACAGTAAATAATAATAATAATACTTTATTTACTGAAAAGGAAATATTATACTCAAGATAGCGTACTGGCCCACGAAAGCAGAAAGCAGAAAGTACTGTACCGGCTAGAATGAATCAATTGAAGCTTGCGTGAAAATGTAGAAAATTTGTGATTGTTTATTTTAAAAATACATTTTTCGTTAGACCGCATCACTGAACGCTCATTTTATTGTGTTAAAAAAATGTTTGCCCACCATGTTTATATTTGATTGCGTTCGTAAAGAGGAAAATATTTCTCTACTTCCTACTTTTAGAATCGTACGTAGTAACACACTATTACTTTGTGATATTTCCTCTAAAAACCTCCCTGGTTCATCGGTTTTATATCTATGGTTTATTTTAGCTCAATTTATACGACACTTACCTTCATCCTAATGATAACGATTATAATCACCGCTGTTGTCACATGCATAATGTTTTCGACATTTTTGTAGATCTTGTCATCGAGAGTGCGAATTTATATTTTTTACAACATACATCACACACAAGTTTCATCGATTAATATTTATTCACATCTGTGCGGTACGCAGTCAGTGCATTGAATGTATTGTCACAGCAGATAGCTTGCAGTGCTATTTCAACTGTGTGCCAGATGTAGATACTGTTTTCAAGAACTCCGTCCTCTTAATGAACCAGTAACATCTCTCCCCAACGCTTGTTCGCTGAATGCTTGGATTCAACTTGCCTGGGAGCTGCATAGTAACCTCACTAAATATCGTTGAGACTGCATTGCGTTAGGGATGACTCACTTTCATGTTGAAGCGCGGTGGTCAAAATCAACCCACAGCAGGTTGCAGAGACTCGCATAGTGTATTATTTGTGTTTTGCAAACAAACTTAAAAAAAAATAGTCTTTTTTATTTGCAAATAACTATACCTATTTTTAGAAGAGTGGTATTCTATGACGAAATTAAACCCGGAGAAGGGGAGCAACGGAAACAAACGACAAACACAAATCTCCAAACACAGCTAGGTGACTGGTGCGCGACCGAAGAAATCTGCCTGGTCATGGTATCGAATCAGAGACCTCTCCATTTCCGGTGGAGCGCTCTATCGACTAGATAACCAGGAGTTAAACGCCAGTAGAGCAAACGGGTTTTCCCAATGCCACCGGTCTAACACCAACAAGGGTAAACGGCCTGTATATTAAAGCTTATGATGAGACAGCAAGTTGATAAAACCCGTTCGCTTTACTGACGTTTATCTCCTGGTTGGATCATTTCATAGAGCGTTCCACTGAAAATGAAGAGGTCCCTGGTTCAGTACCAGGACCACGCGGATTTTTTTCGGCCGCGCACCAGTCACCTCGCTGTTTGGAGATTTTCGTTTGCCCTCTGTCCCCCTTGTTTGGCTGCTCGAAGGTTTATTTTCGTCATGATTGCCCCGTTCGCTTGCGCCTTTGCATTTAATAGCACTATCATCGTGATACTTTTTTCTTAGAGTTGTAACATAAGATTCTGCTCAAGCAATTTATACTACATCCTTGGTGCGGCGTATTTCTATTAAGATATATTTTATTCTTCTAAGTCGTACAGTCTTTAGCTATTCAAAAATTCGGGAGATTATTACAGGGCGACCGGAAACAAACAACGTCGTCGTAACATTATAATACTACAAGCTGCACATTTGGGCAGCAAAACACTTTGGATTGAGCGTCACAGATAATCGGAAATGGCAAGACCCAGGTTTTTTCTTTTGCAATTTGTCTACTTTTTATTTAAGGAGTAATTCAAGAATAATATTATTACTAATATTAATATTATTGCTATTATAAAAATTAGGAAAATAAAAAAAATGAAGTTATGAATAATTATTAGAATGAAACACTTCTGGTGTGAAACACTTCTGCATTTCAAAGTACCCCTTCTCGGGTTTTGATAGCTTCAGCCAAAGGGTGCTATGAAAGGCCTTTTGTTCTAACAAAGTATGGAAAAAGAGTTCAGAATTTTTATTTTCCCTCTATATTTAATAGCCTTCCGGACGACACTGTGGAGTGAACTCACTAAAAACACTTCAGTTAGTGCTTCGATGTATTAGTGCAGCTTTTTGACTGCGCTGTGTATGTGCATTTGTTTGTGTGACCATCAGTGTTTGTAGCACAGCGTATGTGTGATGTACCATCCGCTTAGAACTTTTCATGTGTGGGGAAGCGATTAGATCACGAACTGTAGGGTCCTGTCCAACAAGCCTTTTGTCTGGCTTTGACTGACCAGCCTGTCTATCAAGTGGACTACTAGAGGCGTAGATAAACATTATTATTTCTATTATTATTATTATTATTATTTCTATTATTATTTTTTTCGCTAAACATCTGATCTATTTTAACTTTCAATTGTATTATTCCTTGCGGAGATGCAAACTATCACTAGAATCCTTAATGCCCGTTCACGCAATTGCATTTGACTACAACCGACAGAGACAAGAGCGTTTTTTGAGACTCTTGGGACGGTTTACGACCGGCTGCGCAGCAATGCAGAAGGTAGTACGCCGTCGCAAGAGAGTTAAAAATCGGTCTTGCCGCAGTCGGTCGTCGTTCAACGCAAGTGGGTGAACGGGGATTTAGAGGTTAAGAATATTTAATCATAACTTCAAGATAGTTCAAACACTTGCGTGATACTGACCAAGCGCGACTGCAACGGCTTGCGATGTTAATCTTTTTATGGATTGCCATGGGAGCGGGGCCGTTGTAAGCGGCTTGAAACCCCGTCGCCGTAGCAACCCGTAAAATGATTAACGTCGCAAGCCTTTGCGGCCGGACTCGGTCGGATTCAGGCAAGTGTGTGAATTGCAACTTAGATCCATCATTATATTCTCTCTGACAGGGAAAAGTCAATTATAAGAAATGTCTTAATCAGTAAACCTGAAAAAAAAAGAAACTTCTTTTCTCTGGGAGGTTTGGGAAAGAAGAGTGGAAGCTACGGTCGCCACGAGCTGATATAGTCAATAGATGTTTACGAATAAAATAGTTCTATTTAATTTTTACCATACAGATTTTAATACGGTTATGAAAAAGCTCGTTAGCTTCAATTTTATGAAAACTTGTTAAGGAAAGAACACTTATGATGTCATGAAAAGTTAACTGTCGTAGAAATCAAACTGTTTCTTAAAAGTAGTTTTTTAAGCCACAATTGCTAGTGCAATGTAAAATTTATTTTCTTAATGGCATTCTTGGTCGTCCTGACCACACAGCGCTTTGATTTATAGAGGGAATCTGATAGGAAGATTAGGAGCCAGGGTTCTAAGCGCGAACATTTATTTATAAAACGGAGGTAGCATCTAAAAATGTTTCATCTAAAACTAATCCCCGAAGAATACTTCCGAACATGTCATCAATATTGCCTTAGTATGGTACTAGTTTGTTTCTACAATGAATTCATGGCATTTTTATTGATTGAGTGAAGCAGTGTTGCGGAGTTGCCACTCCGGAGTTGGAATGATTCCGGAATCACTCCGCATTTTCACGACCCCGGAATGGTATGGGAATGGAATGGCGGCAACATTGAGGGGAAGGGAATGGGAATGCAATTAGCTGCCTTTTGCCCGGAATGGAATGGGAATGGAATAAGCCCGTTTTTTTTTTTTTTTCTTCTTTTTTTAGTGCTTAGAGTTAGCTACGCCGAGCCGGTCAGCAAGTCAGTTACTAAGAAATAAATTGAGCGGGAAACTGCTAGCCCGCGTGGAGCTCTAACAAACCTATACGCAAGAAACTGCAATACAAAAAGCAAGCGTCAAAGCAAAGAGCGGAGGGGGGGGGGGGGGGGGGGTTGTGTGGCGGTGGCGCCTTTCACGGACACGAGGGCGACGGGCTTCACCGGCGTTACACGAGAGCGAAGCAAGAAACCAAGCACCAAGCAAAAGAAACGAAGGGAGCGACAAAGAACGAAACCGCCACGCACGGCTCCTCACCAGTTCTGATAACTCGTTGACTCGCACGCTGCCGAAAGACGATCAGTTGTTGTTTTCTTAAAGTTTAAGGAGCATTGTTTAGCAGGCGGCCAACCCTGCTGCCTTCCAGGTTCATTCACGCACACTCCTTTGAAGTGCAAAATGTGGGTTCGCTTCGGCATTAAACAAAGCGAGATTCACTTCCCTCTTCTCCTCTTGCGCTTTGCTCCGACGCTTGTTTTTTTATACTCAAATTTTACGTGCAAGTCCGCCTCTTGGTCTTTGTCCCGACGGTTGTTTTCTGTGTTCTATGTTTTGTATTGAAGTGGGTTAGGGTTACAAGCAAGCTAGAGGATACCCGCTCATTCCCTTTGCATACTTTGTTTCACCTTGCGATGGACCGCTGCGGACCCTACGAGTGACCCCAGGCAATCCAGCACCGTGAGGGGGACTACACGCACGGCGCGTTGCTGCGCCCCAGGGTCACGCGACACTCAGAAGGCACTGGATTGGTTTCGATGGCTCTCGTGTTGTCTGCTGCAGTCCATCGTAACGTGAAGTAGAAGATCGTCACCACTCCTGTCGCATGACCGAACTGACTAGACCTGCAGAAAGACAGTTTCGTGACATGGTCTACACGGTCCCTCGTGCTGCGCCATAGAGGTTGCACTTTGTCAGAGGACGTGTTCTTGCCGCTGTTCATGGAGTCGCTTCTAGCAGCGTACTAGCCCAGTTGCGGGTGTATTTGAAGAATACAGTGATATAGCTGATTTCTGTGCCACGCACGAACTGGATGTTTTTATGGTGCTACCAAACAAACACGCTGGCCGCGTATGTCCTAAAAATTAAATGCAAAAAAAAAGTTTGCAAAAAAAAAAACGAAGAAAATGAGAGGATTTGAGTTTTGCAGTTCGTTGCGAGCCACGTGGTCTAAAGCCCGATGTCTTAAACAAGCATCGACATATCAAGGGGCTTTCTTGGTGTTTGCAGTACAATGTAAACAAACACTTTGGTACACCAGTGCTCCGCTTAGTCAAATCAGTGCTTTTTGAGGCCATTAGCATTTTTTGCAGTAGTCTATGCGTTGATAATGTCAGCTTTATGCTGCTTATGCCGGCAACACAATGTAGCTGTCAAGTGCCAATTTTTACGCTTAGAAATTAGATTAAAGAAATGGATCGATTCAGCCATTCCAGGAGTGGGAATGGGCCCAGTCTTCCCATTGCTAGGAGTTGAAAGGAATTGAATTATCAAAAACTCTAATTCCCCAGATTGGAATTGGAATGGAATGGGGCTGCCCATTCCGAAACACTGGAGTGAAGTAACAAGTACGATACTCACTTTTCTCAACGTCCACTTCTCCAGAAGAGAACGCCTATGCAAACGAGTACATTATCGGCCGCAAAAACCTTTTATATACTTGCAGAAGATATCAGCGGGCTTTTATTAGTATCAGTGGCTCGTGAATCTGAATGACCCTTGGCGTCAAGCTTGCCAAGAGCTGGCAGGCGAGGGGTGCTTACTTTGCTCGCTCGCTATCATCCGATTAAGCTAAGTTTTTTCGGTAATATTGAACATCTTAAAAGCAAAGATGTATTCCCAATTTAACGGTTAAATCTGACACTATTATGTAGTGCCGCTGAATTTTAGGGGAGCCTGAAGATCTCACAAAGGAAAATAAATATTGCCCGGGCATTACTATCTAGAATAATGAGTAACCATGCACTAGAAAGGGGTCGTCATTAGAATAACATCGAGGGACGAAACTGGTTGAACACGAGTACTGTTAAAGCCCGACTTCCATTCGTTTTTCCGCAAGGGAAGAAAATCCTCGTCACCGCCCTTCCCATTTTCTCCTCTCCTGCTGCTGTGTTGAAGGAGGGGGAACTCCTTTGTTGGGGCTGTATAAGCCAGAATCGCATCCCAGCTCATTCATCCCCAAGATGTAGCAACAAACGGATTTTCCCGCTGTCAAGATAGCAGTTGGAAAGGAGGAAATGGCAAGCGTGGCGAGGGGAATTCTCCTAGCCTTCGGAGAAACGTTTTGTAGATTGGCCTTCCAAGTACAAAAATAATGCACAAAATAAAGCCGGAGCATTTTGACGAGCTTATACATGTCTCTCGTTTTCCCCATTTTGTAGTATATTGTTTTGATTTTTAAATAAGTAAACATACATTGCTTCAATTTATTGTTCAAGAAAGTTTTTTTTTAATGCATCGTATGGTTTTTATTTAGTTTTTTGCTTAGTTTCGTCAGCTGACGGCTTCACAAGCAGAACGCTCAGCGGAATATTTTCAGGAAGGAAATTCATGCAACGATAAAAGTGCGAAGGAAAGCCTATTATAATTCCTTTAGGTTGGTGTATTTATTTCGAGCTGCTTGATCTTTTTTTTTTTTTTGGTCAAGGACATACGAAATAAATGCTGATTTTTTATTGTAAGGTGATATAGATGAAATTTAAATCCTCATGCGACTGCAAAATATGAAGGTAGTAATTTTCCTTCTCGGAGATTAGGACGGATGTATAACCAACACTCTGTGCGGTGCGAAAGATGTTAGAGATTTATCCATAAACGTTACACAAAAATATTTGGATATTTTAAAATCATCTGGTGGGCTAGTTGGCTGTACATCTTGGCAAAGTTAGCGCAAAGGCAAGGGAGGAAGAACTTAGACATGTTAGAGCGCTACTTACAACTGACGTTTAATACTGTGAGAGAACGACAAAGAAGAGTACTAACATTTAAAAGAGAAAACACACATGGAAAAAAACACAAGAAATTTTCAGTGAGGTAAGGAGCGGAAGAAAAAATAAATAACAGTAAAAAAACACGGGGAAGAAAAAGTGGTTAGGTCTAAGCTTGATGGTTGGTCACGCTGTTCAAAACGACAGCGAGCTCCAGGACATCAGGAAAACCTTTGTTCATTATCTGAATGGCTAACACTTTACCCGGTGACCATGCCACTGTTCTTTACATTCTGCCGCCTGGTGCTGCATCCAACACGCCGCCGGGCTCAGACCTCCGGGACAGTGACCAAGGTATTGCCTTTCTTTCTCCGACAGCAGTTCACATATTTGTGTTAATGATTTACCTAATCGTCAACACGAAGTAACTCATCAACACAAATATGTGGACTGCTTCAGTGGAGTAGCCTAAGAAATACCCTTTTCATGTGGAAAAGTCTATGTGGGACAGTCGGGTAGTTGCATAAATGCTAGATTGAGAGAGCGTAACCTCTCGCCCAAGGCTAAAGCCCCTCAAGGCTTCACCTGCAGGACATCTAGCGGTACACGTTCGGGACTGCCAATGCACCCCATTGCTCAAAAGCACAAAAGTGTTACAGCGTTTCCGAGAAAAAAGATGTAGGGAAAGCTACAAAGCGCACATGATTATAAAAACACGAGGTGTATGCATCAGTGCTCTGCTAGTAGCCATATCGGAGAAAGAACGGCAATACCTTGATCAGTGTCCTTAAGGTTTGAGTCCGGTAGCGTGTTGGATGCGCCCCAGGTGACAAAATGTAAAGAACATTGACATGTTCACCAGGAAATGCGTTAGCCTTTAAGTTCGTGAACAGAAGCTTTTCTCGTGTCCTGGAGGTCGCTGTCGTTTTGAAGTGTGAGCAACCATCAAGCTTAAACCTAACCCTTTTTTCTTCCCCGTGATTTTTATCGTTATTTCTTTTTGCTTCTTGCAATTACAATTTCTTGTTTTTATTTGTCTGTCATCCTCTTTTAAATGTCAGTACTTTTCTTTTGTCTTTCTCTCACAATATTATACGTCAGTTGTAGGCAGCCCCCAGGCCAGCAGCCGTACTGCACTGGCTAAATTGTTTATCTACAGCGGGTAACAATGTCACCATGTTCTAGCAGAGTGAACTTCTGTATAAACAACTAATGACGAGTTGTTTTTTCTGTCTCTACGTTATTCCTCCCCTGTCTTTGCGCTAATTTTACCAAGATATTTGGATGATCCACAGTGTTTATTTTTTCATTTAGTTTGACATACTGCATCCCCGTCAAGGATACTGCAGGAGTTGGAAGGGGCGGTCACAAACATGAAACATCGTAAAATAAGATCAATCAATGACAACCGCACAAAGAAACTCACCTGGAGGTAATAAACGGATGTTACGGAGTGGTAGATTCCAATATTCACTTGATCTAGGGGAAAAAACGGTATTTAAACATATCAGTACGAGCATAAAACGTTGAAATGTTTAGGTCATGGTGGCTCCCTGTTGATGACGCTATGTGCAACCTTATGTATATGTCTAATGAGGTGAGACGCGGCGAGTTAACAAGGACTTTAAGGCTCGCAGTGTGACATCTATTCGAAAGAAGACTTAAGCTTAGAGCCGTAAGGTTAGAGGATGGGGGATAAGTCTCTGTCGTAGAAACGGAAAATAAAACGTACTCCTTTCTTTTAGACTGATTCGATCTTCTTAATATAGGAGTGTTTCCAGGAATTTCAAATGATTGTACCTTACTCGGACCGTACTGCAACTGTCCCTCTTTTGGCTCCTCATGCGTAAAGTTTAAGCCACTGCCACAAGTCCCCAAACACCTCCAACACTTCTTTCACTTCACATTCTAGTGCGTCAGCCTGATTACTTAGAATGAGGAAGTCATCCACAAATCGGAATATTTTGAACCTGCTAGAGACCCGTAGCTTCTCTAAAATGGCTATTCCGCACGCACTGAGAAAAATGTTGCACAACACAGGTGCGACAGAAGAGCCAATACAGATGCCCCTTTTTTGCTTCTCATCTGTATTGGCTCTTCTGTGGCACCTGTGTTTTGCAACATTTTTCAGAGCGCGTGCGGAAGAGCCATCTTAGAGAAGCTACGGGTTTTCTCAGAGAGTGCGGAAGAGCCATCTTAGAGAAGCAACGGGTGTTGTCTACGAAATCCCAACGTCACGCGGCTCGTCTTATATTGGCCAGACGGGAAGGTGCTTCAATGATCGTGCACGAGAGCACGCCGCGGCGACGAAAGCCACTCCATCGGGACATCTTGCCACTCACTGCAGTCGTTGCCCATGTAACCCGTCATTTGGCGACACCAGCTTTCTGGCTAGATACCCGGATAGGGTTTCTAGAGGACTGCATGAGGCCTTCGAAATGCAGGCAAAGAACATAAAAAAATGCATAAGTGACACGTCCCTTTCTTTATCGGGGAATGAGTATTCCTTTTGTTACGGGGGTTGAACAGATCTTAGGAGAGAGTATGTGTTTGTTCGAAGCTATATATATGATTGTTTTCACAAGTAAAAACCAGTTGCGAGTGCGCTCTTCTCTGTCTACTTCCTCGTCCTTGTATTTTTTCGCGCTTCTTTGGGTTATCCTGAACCAACTGGCCCAAATTGCTACCTTAATGTCATTTGGAATCTTTTGAAAATATTCGACCCCTAAAGCATCCTGGAACACATGTATTATCTCCTGTTACGGCTGAAACAACGATACGGTTGTATCCCTCTTGTGAAGGTCCTTTCTACCGACCCTCCGCCACCGACGCATACATCGGAGTCGTCAAGTTTCGCCTAGCATCATGCAAACAGAGACCTCGTGGATTGCGATCTGATATTGCTGGCACAGGTGCGAACTCTCCGAGAAACAGCCCGCTCGAGACGGGTCGCAGGTCTACGAAGCCTGGGTCGGCACAGCAAAGCCACCTCTGGCCTCCTTCCTGCGTTTCAGGTCACCACAGCAGCGGGTCACGTTCAAGTAGTCTGATAACGTACCCTTGAGCCGTGCATTATTACGGGCGCAGCCGCACCCGTATTCGAAGATGTGCTCAACTTCACTGCGTAAGTAATCCTCCTATTTCAAGGCAACCATCGCCAGGCTCGTGCTGCAAGAGACTGTGACTCAGCTTTGCCTGCTGGGTGTACTGTGTACGCTAAGGCAAGAAAGATGGTTTTCAGCGGGCATTTCATGCCAGGAAACAATGACTCAAGAAATTCCTACCTAAGAACCTGCGGCAGAAGATGCTCCGACTCCACTCCTGGCACGCCACCTGGTTCGTGTCTCCGACTACTCAACACTTATCGGAAGGGAGAAGAGGATGCACAAAAAAACAGTGTGGAGAATGGGAAGGAACCTTGGTCAGCATAGTAACAATGCCTCACCATATCTTTGACTCTGGTGCCCTCAGAAGTAACAAACAAAAGTGTTCGTGCTCAGATTTTTTTTATTTGTTTTCGGGGGAAGGGGGGGGGGGGGCAAGGATGTACTTCTCGAGAAATGTAACATGTAGCAAAATACATTTCATCCTGATTGTATCGCCATACAAAGAAACATTCCAACTGTATATCGATACAGGAATACAGATGCTGGTGAAAAAAATTAATCGCGATAAAGAAATACAGATACGAA